GGACACTGAAAACACAAGGCACTTCTGTTTCAAGAGAAGAATCTGAAAGTTCTGTTACATGCAATGGAACGTCCCGGAAAGCACAACTTAAGTCACACCAAGAGAAGATACTGGAGCACTCAAAATCATGTGCCCTTGTATGTGCATAGAAAATGGTAGAGCTAGCTAGACTGAGATCTGCACTGATCGCTGCAGTGTTCTTATTGTTGCATAATTGTAAGATGGTTGTATAATCTTAGAAGGGGTGTGGCTGCGAGGGGGCATGGGAAACAGAAACAGAAACTAACAGTGACCAGGGGCAGAGGAAGGAGGGTGCGGTGGGGATGGACCACCCCAGGTGTCTTCACTGAGGGGGTGACATTGGCAGTTCCAGGTAGGCAGCGCGCTGAATGTCCGCTATTGGTGGCTCCCTCTGCTTCCAGCTGTAGGGCGCGCACTCTGCTCCATGCACCCGAGCAGCTATCCCGCACCTGGGAGGGCACCCTCCACGCCCCACCCCCCTTGGGAGTGCGCCTGTCCAGGGCAGTGCGAGCATATGTTCTGCCGCTGGGTGTGACTATCACCAAGAGCCCCTGCATTTCTGAATTTGCTGCTACACTACTGGCTGAGAAGCTACCCTGACAGTCCCAGCTGCCATGGCTGTGCTGGTTGGGGCTGATGGGAGCTATAGTCCCAAACATCTGAAGGGAGCCAGGTTGGGGAAGGCTGGCTTCTTAGATGTCATCGGAATGCCTCATGTCAATACAATTAGAGATCCTTCTGATTCTGTGGAGTTCCTCCCAGTTGCCTATCAAGCAAATCTTTGTTTAGCCTCACCAAAGTCACAGGGCACTCTCTCCCCATCTGTTCCTTCCATAATAAGAACTGTTTGATTTACTTTTTTAAAAAAAATTAATTGACTAGAAGAGTATTACTAACCTGAGAGGGAGAGAGATCCCATACGTCAATCAAAAACTTCTTTCAACCTCCTGGCCTACTTTCCCTGTTCTGAATCTCTTGGTAATATTGCAAAGATGTTCTTAGACAAATACATGCTTCTGTAAATGAATTCTTGCATTTGCTGGGAAATGACAGCTCCTTTCTTGCCATATGATGAATCAGCCATCTTTATAAAAACCAAATAAAACTCAAAGTGCACCGTGTTTATTTGATTGAATCCTTAGGGCTGGTAACATCATTGCGCTATTTCCCCTATACATTTAAAGCAGTACCAGGTCACCATGTATGTTAAGGGTGCTGAAAGTTGTTAGCAGAGCTTCAATTCCAAATTCCCTGTGAAGAGAGATTGACCGTAAAACCACTCTGTAGGGCAGGCATAGGCAAACTCTGGCTCGCCAGATGTTTGGGACTACAATTCCCATCATCCCTGACCACTGGTCCTGTTAGCTAGGGATGATGGGAATTGTAGTCCCAAACATCTGGAGGGCCAGAGATTGCCTATGCCTGGTGAAGGGGGACTAGGGATATCCTAACAAGTCTCAGCACCCTTAAATATCTCCAGCTCCCAGGATTCTTTGGGGGAAACCATGACTGCATAAAATGATTTGATGCTGCTTTATATGTAGGGGATGTGAGTGGTGCTGTGGTCTAAACCACTGAGCCTCTTGGACTTGCTGATCAGAAGGTTGGCGGTTCAAATCCCCGCACCGGGTGAGCTCCCATTGCTCGGTCCTGCCAACCTAGCAGTTTGAAAGCATGCCAAAAAGTGCAAATAGATAAATAGGTACCACTCCGGTGGGAAGGTAAACAGTGTTTCCGTGCACTGCTCTGGTTTCGGTGTTCCGTTGTGCCAGAAGTGGCTTAGTCATGCTGGTCATATGACCCGGAAAAACTGTCTGTGGACAAATGCTGGCTCCCTTGGCCTCTAAAGCGAGATGAGCACCGCAATCCCAGAGTCGTCTGCGACTGGACTCAGGGGTCCTTTACCTTTTACCTTTTATATATATAGTGCAGATAGGGCCCATGAGTGTGTGTATAGAAAGCAGGCTACTGTGCAAAGGTAAAATTTAGCAATGTAATAATGTAACAAGCACATGTGAGAAAGTTAGAATTACACAGTTAAAGTGCTCTGTCTCCCTAGCACAACAAAACTACTTTTTAATTTTAATTTTTAAATTGCGTTTCTCCAGTTTGGCAAGGGATGAGGAAATGCACTGAAAAGTGTGGGATGGAGAACTGATTAATGGGAAGGTATGCAAATGCCCCACAAACAAATCCAGATGAATGTTCATTATCATATAACCTATCCACAAACAAATCAGAACGTAGGTCCAATGTTTGTTTGTTTGTTTGTCCAAAAATTGTATACTGCTTGATGGTTAAAAACAATTTTTAAAAACCCTCTGGGCAGTTTACAGAAATATAAAATAAAACATTACAATTATATAAGCTACTAAAGTACAAAATGTAAGTAAGATGGTGTTTGAGCTGCAGAGCTCAGACATGCTGACATGTGGTCAGCTTAGAAGCATGGTGAAGAAAAGGGAGGCTGCCCAGGCAGGCAGGAAGTGTGTAGTGTTACAGTTTCCAGCTAAGGCAGACAAAGGAAGTGATCTCATAGAGTTCTCTCTAGAAAATTTTACAAGAAAGCTCCGTGAGCCTCAGCCAGGGCCCGGATTTAGGTTTTATGAGGCCCTAAACTACTGAAGGTAATGGGGCCCTTTATATGTCCAGCTGTCTTTTGTCAACAACAAATTGTCACTTTTTTTGTGTGTTGAATATATGCCATATGGTAATTTATGGACCTAATAGGTATCTAAAGCCATTTGCACATAACAAAATATGTATTTTATCAAAGTGATTGTTGAACTGAAATACAATTAAGAAGTATATTAATAGTGAAATACAATTAAGAAGAAGTATATTACAGTCATACCTTGGGTTACAGATGCTTCAGGTTGCATTTTTCCAGCTTACGGACTGCCGAAACCCGGAAGTACCTGAACGGATTACTTCCGAGTTTCAGCGCTCGCAACCCGAGTGTCCACTGTAATAGGGAAATAATTATTAAGCTACATCATAGGAGCCTACACAACACAAAACACTGTTGCTGTGTGTAGGTTTTATTTTATTTGTTTTTTATCTTTTATTTTGGAAATGTACATCCAGTTTTTTTCCTTTAAATGTTTTGTGGGCCCCCAAGAGAGTGGAGCCCTAAGCTATAGCTTGTTTAGCTTATATGTAAATCCGGCACTGGCCTCAGCCCCTTCATGTGCCCTATCTGGCAAAGCATGAATTGTTGGTTTTGAATGCAATAATGGCCCAGAGTAAAGAGATATAGCTGGGCAGAGAGGAAGCTTGGTGCTGTTGCTCCTTATTCCACATAAGGCCTGGAGGCACCCCATCCATACAGAAGAGTTCAGCAAACTGACGGTTAGATGAGAAGAGGTAGAAATGAACCTTCCCATTCACTAGGATGCTGCAGAGTTTGGCTTTGGAAATGGGCACTGGTGCCATTTAAAATGTTCTCATGAAATGTCATCATAATCCCTTTGCACCTGTTATTTATTTTACTTGTGGTTGGAATTTTCTAAAATGGGTCTTCCCGATTGTTTCAGTGGCAGGGTGGTGGGGCTGGCAAGTAGCTCACTTATTCACTTGCATATAAACAAAGCATTAGTGACTTACACTGCATGCTTACCTCTGTCACTCCTTACCTTTCTCTCACTGTCAATTGACATAATTTTTTTCTGGCTGTCACTGATGTAACAAAACTGTTTTGCACTCCCAAGAAATGAGTATTTTGTCTTTCATTTTCATACACTGAATATGTATGTTGCCACATTTCCTTTTTTTTAAAAAAAAAAAGTGCTGTCGCTAAGCAGAATGCTATACAGAGAAATATAAACAAAAAGAAGAGACTGATCTCTGCCCCAGGTAGCTTACAGTTTATGTTCAGGTTGTGAGGGAAATAGTGAAGGAGAGCAGAGATAGGAGAAAATGAACAGGCTAGGACATGCCAGTATGGTGTAGAAGAGGTTAGAATATTGGCCTTGGAACTGGGAGACCAGGGTTCAAATTGCCACACAGCTATGAAGCTCACGGAGTGAAATAAAGGAAGAAACGAAGAAATGTCGTGTTTTTTTAATGGACAAGTTGGAGTTGTAACAAAACGCCAGCCCCAAATTCACCACCCTGTTCACAGGTTGCAAAATTGGTGAGGATCGTATCATCAGTGGGATGAGAAACTGAGAAATTTTATTAAATGCTTTAAGGAGAGGCCTGTCATTGGCAGCAACTTTTCAGTCCCCCCCCCCTTTTTAAGCCTCACCCACTATTTTGTTTAAAAGAAAGAACACACACAGCTGTTTTAGTATTTTAATAATGTTTTGCCCCTCATTGCCCTCAACAGAGTTTCTGTTGGGTGATTCCCAAATGTACCAACTATTTCTCTCTCCCAAATTCACCTGGAATGCTGCTGTTGTGCCATGCTGTGTTACCATTCCAGGGACATTGGGTGTGAAGGGGGATAATTGGTGGACTGTCACCTTGCCAACAAAGGTCCGTATAGTTAAAGCTGTGGTTTTCCCAGTAGTGATGTATGGAAGTGAGAGCTGGACCATAAAGAAGGCTGATCGCCGAAGAATTGATGCTTTTGAATTATGGTGCTGGAGGAGACTCTTGAGAATCCCATGGACTGCAAGAAGATCAAACCTCTCCATTCTTAAGGAAATCAGCCCTGAGTGCTCACTGGAAGAACAGATCCTGAAGCTGAGGCCACCTCATGAGAAGAGAAGACTCCCTGGAAAAGACCCTGATGTTGGGAAAGATGGAGGGCACAAGAAGAAGGGGACGGCAGAGGACAAGATGGTTGGACAGTGTTCTCGAAGCTACCAGCATGAGTTTGACCAAACTGCAGGAGGCAGTGGAAGACAGGAGTGCCTGGTGTGCTCTGGTCCATGGGGTCACAAAGAGTCAGACACGACTAAATGACTAAACAACAACACAGGGAGGGGCAAAATGTTGGGTTGTTGTTGTTTTTTAAAAAAGCAACAACAGGCTGGATAGCTCAGTCAGTAGAGCATGAGACTCTTAATCCCATGGTCATGGGTTTGGGCCCACCGTTGGATGAAAGATTCATGCATTGCAGGGGGTTGGACTAGATGGCCCTCCTGGTCCCTTCCAGCTCTGCAGTTCTATGATTCTATTATTCTAACTCTTTGACAAAAATTTGGAAGGCTTCTCAAACCTGTCAACTCATCCAGACATTCTTCCACTGAAGGTCTGCTCAGAATTCCTTTGCCAGATGGTGCCTCTTCCCATTCCAGGTTCAAAAGCCACTCAGACCAGCAGATGAACCTTAGGCTGTGTACACATTTCCAGTTACTTTGCATCTAGTGCGCTTCTACCACAGAGGTTCTGTCTCCCCTAACCAAAGGCCTCCCCTCCCAACAAAAATCCTGGCCACACCCATGGTCAAAGTCTACTCTCCAGCCAAATTCACCAGCCACACTCTGCAAACCAAAGTTCAATAGGTGTGGCCTTGAGAAAGGGAGTGTGGGCAGGAAGGGGTGTGTGCCCTGGGGAGAGTCTCATGGGCCAAATAAAGAGGGCTGGGGGCAGGATTCAACCTCTAGGCCTCAGGTTCCTCACCTCTGATCTCAGGTCACAGATGAGGAAAGTGGCCCTGCAGATATTTCAAAGACCAGAACTCCCATCTTCCCAAACCATTGGCCATGCTGGCTAGGACTTATGGGAGCTGAAGTTCAACAACATTTCAGGGTGGGCAATAACCCCACCCTTGCCTTTTGGAAGACTGAGCCCAATTACCTATTGGAGCCCTTTGGGATGCAAAATGTGCGACATAAGGCTTGTGACTCAAGTTAGAAAGTCAAATTGCTACAATCACACACAACGAGATGCTGTCAGGGTAAGAGAATGGATAAAGTAGTTAATTATGATTGGGTAGAGGAGTTTCCAGTTTTAATCCATCTAATCTAGAGAAGACTAAGGCAGCCATGCTCTCTCCTTCGTTCTCTCAGAGGGTGGTTTGAAAGTGACCTTTCATCTTGAGGTCCAAGAAAGAGAATTGGAGCGGGGAGGAAATTGTAAACAGGATGCAACCAAAGAATATCAGTCTAAACAATAAAGAGACAGGTAGGTCCACTCAGGAGAGAGCCAGTGTGGTGCAATGGTTAAGAGCGGTAGTCTCGTAATCTGGGGAACCGGGTTCGCGTCTCTGCTCCTCCACATATAGCTGCTGGGTGACCTTTGGCCAGTCACACTCTTTGAAGTCTCTCAGCCCCACTCACCTCACAGAGTGTTTGTTGTGGGGCAGGAAGGGAAAGGAGAATGTTAGCCGCTTTGAGACTCCTGAAGGGGAATGAAAGGCGGGATATCAAATCCAAACTCCTCTTCTTCTTCTTCTTCTTCTTCTTCTTCTTCTTCTTCTTCGAGAGGTTAAAGGTACAGGAACAATCTGGGAATCTGGAGATTCCCTCACTTTATTTGTCTTAACTCCATATAAACCCACTCTTCTGCAAGCTGACTTGCACCCAAGCTCCCAACACTGCCAAAGGTTAAAGCTTCAAGGAGGAGTTCGTCAGCACCCTCTTCTGAGAGCCATCTTCTTGGAATAGCCAAACTCCTGGAACTCTATAAAGTCCTTGGCTCCAGCTACCTACCTTTTTTCTTTCTCCTCTTTTGTGTGGCAAATGTATCCACCGTCCTCTCGAAAGGTGTTACAACAGCAATTCAATTAGGGTAAATATTGTACATCATATTCACAGCTGGAAAATCCGGTGACTAACTGTGACCAAACGCTGAAAGGGAGTGTAGCTTATAACCAGTATTACCCTTTCCCTTTTTTTGTTGCTGACCACAGGTTAATGAATTTCAAGGAGCTTAGGATATCTAAACAGAAACATACTGAGATGCTGGCGAGAAATTATACAAAGCCAAAATGGGAGGAATTACAAAGATCATATGAAATTGACGCAGCTGTGCCTTCCACCTGGGAATCACACTTAAAGGGGTTTCTTTACCTCCTCCTTCCTCCTGCCCCCCTGTACATTCAAAAGGCAAGCAGGATATATTGCCTTTTGAATATATACAGATAAAATTTGAGTATGTCTACTGTATGTGTGAAAGAGAGGGAGGAGGGAGGGGAAAGATCTTCTTGTGGCTTCCCCATAAGCATCTGATGGGCTACTGTGAGAACAGGATGCTGGACTGCTGGTCTAGATGGGCCATTGGCCTGATCCAGCAAATTAATGCACACACAAAGCAATAACATTTATGTGCTTGTGTGGGTAAGAGAGAGAGACTGTATGTGAGAGAGGGGTGGGGGATGGTCATTTGTAATCTGAACAAGCAGTGCTGACCTTCCCAAGTGCCCCTGTTTTCCAGGGACAGTCCCCAATTTACAGAAGCTGTCCCAGTTTCTGATTTCATCATGGAATGTCCTGTTTTTCCTTAGGACGTCCCTATTTTCATTGGAGAAATGCTGGAGGGTATGGCAGTTATCTGGCTCTGGAGCCAAGGAGATAAGTAACTATTCAACCTTTGGAAGATATTGGAAGGTAGCCCTGAATAGGGAAGTTTTTAAAAAATGTTTAATGTTTTCTTATGTTTTTATGTCTGTTGGACACCACCCAGAGTGGCTGGGGCAACCCAGTCAGATGGGTAGGGTATAAACAGTAAATTATTATTCTTTTTATTGATGTCCCTATTTCCATCAGAGAAATGTTGGAGGGTATGGAAGTGACAGACCACAAACAAGATCTTGGGGTTGTAGTAGATAGCTCGATAAAGATGTTGACCCAGTGTGTGGCAGCTGTAAAAAGGGTGAATTCCATGCTAGGGATCTTTAAGAAAGGAATAGAAAACAAAACTTCCTGTATCATAAAGCTGCTGTACTAAGCTAAGGTGCGACCACATTTGGAATACTGTGTGCAGTTCTGGTCACCTCACCTCAATAGGAATATTGTAGAATCGGAATCGGTTTTGAAAAGGGTAATCAAAATGATGAAGGAGATGGAGCAGCTCTCCTGTGAAGAAAAGTTGCAGCATTTAGGACTTTTGAAGCTTAGTGAAAAGGTGAATAAGAGGTGGCTTGAAAGAAATTTATCAAATTATGTGTGGCATGGAGAAAGCGGCTAGAGAAATCTCTCCCCCCGCCCCCATGACTCTAGGACATCCAATGATGATGAACGCTAGAAGTTTCAGGACAGATGAAGGAAAGTCTTTCATACAATGCATAGTTAAACTATGCAATCTGGTGAACTGGGTTCGCTTCCCCGCTCCTTCACATGCAGCTTCTTTGAAGTCTCTCAGCCCCACTCATCTCACAGAGTGTTTGTTGTGGGGGAGGAAGGGAAAGGAGAATGTTAGCCGCTTTGAGACTCCTTAAGGGGAGTGAAAGGCGGGATATCAAGTCCAAACTCCTCCTCCTCCTCCTCCTCCTCCTCCTCCTCCTCCTCCTCCTCCTCCTCCTCTTCTTCTTCTTCTTCTTTGGGACTTACTCCCACAGGAGGCAGTGATGGCCACTTTAATGATGGCAACTTTAGAAGAAAGCTAGACAAATTCATGGGGGAGAGGGCTATTGAAGGCTACCAGCCATGATGGCTATGCTCTGCTTCCACAGTTGGGGGCAGTAATGCTTCTGAATACTGTACCAGTTGCTGGAAACAGCAGAAGGGAAGAGTGCTCTTGTGCTTGGGTCCTGATTGCAGGTTTCCCACAGGCATCTGCTTGGCCACTGTGATAACAGGATGCTGGTCTAGGTGGTCCATAGAGCTGATCCAGCAGGCTCTTCTTACATTCTTATGTAATATGTATCTGTGCATTTTTATTGCACATGTAAAGGTAAAGGAGCCCTGACAGTTAAGTCCAGTCGTGGATGACTCTGGGGTTGCGGCACTCATCTCGCTTTACTGGCATTTGTCTGCAGACAGTTTTTCCAGGTCATGTGACCAGCATGACTAAGCTGCTTCTGGCGAAACCAGAGCAGTGCACGGAAATGCCGTTTACCTTCCCGCCGGAGCGGTACCTATTTATCTACTTGTACTTTGACATGCTTTCGAACTGCTAGGTTGGCAGGAGCTAGGACAGAGCAATTGGACCTCACCCCATCGCGGGGATTCGAACCGCCAACATTCTGATCAGCAAGCCCTAGGCTCAGTGGTTTAGACCACAGCGCCACCCGTGTCCGCATATATACCCCACCTTTTTCTCCAAGGAACTCAAGGTGGCATACCTTGTTCTCCCCGTCCTCATTTAATCCCCACAACAACCCTGTGAGGTAAGTTACCGGTAGGCAGAGAGAGGGAGTGAATGGCCCGAGGTCATCATGTCTGAGTGGGGATTTGAACCCTCGTCTCCCACTAAGACAATCTGCCCACTATACCACACTGATTCTATTACATATGACTAATAATAACACTGCCCACACTTACAAGACTGTATGTGTTAAATTGTGTAATGTGTGCTGGATGCTCAAAAATTTATTACCATTACAGTACTTACTACTGTTATTATCATGCACCTAACAGGAGCATCAGAAATATAGAAACCATTGAAGTACATCTAGTTCATATCTGCCTGTCAGCCTATTTGCTTCCATCGCATAGAAACACCCTTAACACAATGCATCATTTATACGGTTATTAAGAGATCAGGGGGTGATTTAAACCGTACATGCGTTCTGCAGGGACATATTGGGGAATTATTTTAACAGTGCGTGCTGAGGACTGATAGTGCCTGGAAGTAGGCTTATTTTATTTATTTATTTATTTGTTCGCTCATTCATTCAAAACCCCAAGGTGAATTTCCTGCAGTTTCCGAAGACTTGCCATCCAGCAAAGGGTCATAGGGGCATTCACTGCAATCCAGATGTAAATTCAAAATGATTTAATTTCTTGAGGGTGGGTGGCAAAACATTTCAATAAGGAGGCAATCTGTTCTTTGCCTCCCTGCCCCCATATATCCATATATTTAGTTCCAATAAGTTGAGGGGGATCCCGTTCATTTATGAATCTTGGCCTGCGTTTTTTGAAATTTTATTTGTATTAAAAAAAAAACACCTCCTCCAAATCCAAAAGCCAAGTCCTGGGAGATGAACATAAATAATGAA